AAAACAAATTACATAACTTAAAAATTAAAGTTTTAACAAAACAAATTACATAACTTAAAAATTAAAGTTTTAACAAAACAAATTACATAACTTAAAAATTAAAGTTTTAACAAAACAAATTACATAACTTAAAAATTAAGGTTTTAACAATCAAACTACATAACTTAAAAATTAAAGTTTTAACAAAACAAATCACATAACTTAAAAATTAAGGTTTTAACAAAACAAATTACATAACTTAACAATTAAAGTTTTAACAAAACAAATTACATAACTTACAAATTAAGGTTTTAGCAAAACAAATTACATAACTTAACAATTAAAGTTTTAACAAAACTAATTACAGAACTTAAAAATTAAGGTTTTAACACCAATAGCTGGCGTAGACTTATAAACAGTTTTGACCAATAGCTGGCGTAGACTTATAAACAGTTTTGACGTTAACATTCTGGATAAATCACGTTAACTACAAATGTTCTTATTTTTTTAACCCCCCCCCCCCCCACTGATCTGTGGACATATTAAGAGAAACGTGGAAAAAATACCTGAAGTTAATTTGATTTTTTTACAAAATAACGTATTGTTTGGGAGTTACCTAAAGGTTATCTGTGCTAGCTGTATCTACCTAGAGGGTATCTGTGCTAGCTGTAGCTACCTAGAGGTTATCTGTGCTAGCTGTAGCTACCTAGAGGTTATCTGTGCTAGTTGTAACTAACTAAAGATTATCTGTGCTAGCTGTAGCTACCTAAGTTATCTGTGCTATGCAGCTACCTAAAGGTTATCTGTACTAGCTGTAGCTAACTAAAGGCTATATGTGCTAGCTGTAGCTAATTAAAGGTTATCTGTACTAGCTGTAGCTAACTAAAGGTTATCTGTACTAGTTGTAGCTAATTAAAGGTTATCTCTACTAGTTGTAGCTACCTAGAGGTTATCTGTGTTAGCGATCTCTACTTTTTACTGATATACGAGCAATAATACAGTACCAGTCATGAACTCGTGGGTTATAACTCACCCACACCACCCCTAGAATTACATAAAAACAATACATATAATTAATTAATACAAATAACACTGGCTGTTTCGTATCTCTAGGTTTTATTATCTCAAACGTTAAATTTCGAGCAGATGTAAGCACTGGGGATACTTTAGTTGATATAAAGTCAGAAGTTTTTAGATTTTTCAAGAAACATAATTCTATATTTTCACTCACGGTTTTCTTATCTCCGTATTTACCGTTCCGGATTATAGTTGTTTTATTCCAATTGCCAGTTTTTTGTTTGTTCGTTTTAGCACAAAACCACAAAGGGCTATCTGCTGCGTTCACCGCGGGGAATCGAACCCCGTATTTTAGCGTTGCGTGTTAGTAAAATTTTCCGATTAAAGAATAATAGTCGACAACAAAGTATTATGTCGCATTTATGAACTCCGTATTAACGACAAAACTTGAATAAAATGTTTTAATAAATAATCTTATTTGTTACGTAACAAGCATGTAAGTATTCTCTTATCTCAAAGGCCTGACATAACCTGGTGGGTAAAGCGCTGGATTCGCAATCTACGCGTCGCGAGTTCGAAACTCTGTCGCCAAACAGGCTCGCCCTTTCAGCCGTAGGGGCGTCATAATGTGATGGTCAATCCCACTATTTGTTGGCAAAGAGTAGCCCGAGATTTGGTGGTTGGTGCTGTTGACTAGCTGCCTTCCCTGTAGTCTATCGCTGATAAATTTCGGACGGCCAGCACAGACAGCCTTCAGGTAGCTACAGCCAGCACAGACAGCCTTCAGGTAGCTACGGCCAGCACAGACAGCCTTCAGGTAGCTACAGCTAGCACAGATGTCCCTCGTGTAGCTTTGCGCGAAATTTGAAACAAACAAACTGTCTTCTCTCAAAAACGAAGCTCATGTAAAATCTTACGAAGAACTATTGTTATGCTAATTTCTATTCCAGACTCCATTTCTATTTAGGCTTAGTAATAATACACTTAAACTTTCTTACGTTTGCTGGCATCAACAATCTTAATCATCACCTCTTTTCACCAGCCGCTAATAAGATGATAACAGTCAATACTTAACATTTACAGTGAAGCATGGTATGGAATCAGAATAAGTTTGGGCTGCAATCAGTTTCCTTAATCTACACAAAATTGATGGCACCTTAACTGCTGGCAATAACATTCATGCTATTCTCTCAGTAACATTAATTTTCATGCAGGTATTCGTCTTCCAGCAATGCAGTGATCCAAGACAAACAGTAATGTGTTGAAACTACATCTTAACGATGAAGAAGTCTATGGAACCATGGTTTTGCCTGTGGAAGTCAATGGAACCGTGGTTTCGTCTGCACAAAGTCCTGATGTGAAAATTCTTGAGGATGCATGAGGGTCAAAAGAAAGACGAAGAAATAGAAGTTTAATCTCCTAGCAACCAGTGTGCAAAATTCAAATGTTTTTATTAACCTTAGATAAACAAATGAGGGTCAAAGTGTGCTTGTCACGACCTTTTTTACAGAGTGTCATTAACAACAGTATTATGTTTTTGATGACAGAGTTATCAACTATTCATTTTTTCCTACACTGTTGATTTAGCAACATAGTAACTACCAAATACAATATATAGGGATACTGAAAAGCGGTAGATATGCATTTTATAGGTTCTTGAGATTATTGAAATACAATATACGAGCTGTACAACAGATAAAAGTATTTTTATTCTTCACATGAACATCATATTACACTCCGACTTATCAGAGTATGACGTCATCAATTCACAGGCAAAGCTTAATAAATTTGTGATTATAGTCAACATTCCCTCTCCAATTGGGCATCAGTTTTGATTATTCACCATTTGTTAATTGATTATTGCATTTTCAAACACACAAAGATAAAAGTTATTTTATCGAGCTGGGGTTCAAGCCTAACCTAAATGTCTTCCAACCAAAACAATCACCAGCTTTTTAAATAATAGTTTCTAGCATGTTGACAAGCTTGGTGAGGTAAACTTTTACATGCTATGACAGTTAGGGAGATAATACATCAGCTAAACAGACGTCCCTAACGTCCATATTAATAATGAATTTTAAGAACAACTTACACGAGCAGAATTAGCTTCATAATTCTAACTTATAGTAAATACCGTAGTTATTACATGAAACATAAAAACAGAACATAAAACTTTATGTGTTTTCAACATGGCGATAGAGTTATTATTAGAGTTAGAATTAAAAGTTGACTCATTTCTTTAGTCCGGTGCTTCTTAAGATTAAAATTCTTTAATATCGTTAACGAAGCGTCCTCTGTATCCAGAAGGTCCAATCGTTTATTGACACTCCCCTTCTGTAAGAAGAAAGTTTTCCCCACGTTGTCTAGTGAAACCCGCATCCTTTGTATTCTGATTAAGTTTATGTTACCACACAAAACACTTTACAGACTATCGTAGCATAACAATTAAACATAATATTACAAATCGAAACGAGAGAAAAGAAAATCCTGCTTACTAATTACTAAGGACAATAACTTATACAATTCATGTTTTGTTTTGTTTCACGTTCTAGTGATACAACACAATTTCAAACCCCAGGTCTACAATGTGGTCCTTATAAGGACAATAACTTATACAATTCGTTCTTTGTTTTGTTTCACGTTCTAGTGATACAACACAATTTCAAACCCCAGGTCTACAAGGTGGTCCTTGATAAGGACAATAACTTATACAATTCGTTCTTTGTTTTGTTTCACGTTCTAGTGATACAACACAATTTCAAACCCCAGGTCTACAATGTGATCCTTAATAAGGACAATAACTTATACAATTCGTTCTTTGTTTTGTTTCACGTTCTAGTGATACAACACAATTTCAAACCCCAGGTCTACAATGTGATCCTTAATAAGGACAATAACTTATACAATTCGTTCTTTGTTTTGTTTCACGTTCTAGTGATACAGCACAATTTCAAACCCCAGGTCTACAATGTGGTCCTTGATAAGGACAATAACTTATACAATTCGTTCTTTGTTTTGTTTCACGTTCTAGTGATACAGCACAATTTCAAACCCCAGGTCTACAATGTGGTCGCTACTAAGGGCAACATTGCACTTCTGCAGTGTCAGGTTCCATCTTTCGTTCGTCAGTTTGTGAGCGTGGAGTCTTGGTCAAGAAGTGATGGTCTCGTGTACAGACAGAACCACTCGGACGGTAAGTGGAGAGAGTTCTAAACTATTGAGGTATAATTTTATCTGTATTAATCAATTAGTTTCCATTATTCAAGCATAAAGCAATTTTAATATAGATATTGTATTTAAGAAGCTTTTTTTAAAGTTCACCTTTATAGTTCGCACTGGTCGTCTTGCAGAGTACGTGGATATCCATGTCATGAAAATATTTCTTGTTTTCTCTGGTAACGTGTCTTTTTTAATCATGTTACTTGATATTCTATTTCATGTACGGAGGATTTTTCGAGTCATTTCCTTCCGAATCTTCTTAAAGAAATACCTTGTACTTAACGTGTTTTGGTGGAAGAAATCTTGATGGATCGGATTATCCCTAATCCCTTTTCTTTAATACGCATGCGTTGAAAGTTTACGGTAATAAGGTTGGAGATTCTGCGGCTCTTTCCCGGCAGAATTCCATGTCGCAGTAAGAGTATCTTCCTGTTCGCTTTTAAACCGATAAAAAGAAATGCTATTTTAAAAGAAATGTTATTTAAAAAGGCATCGTTTCCTTGGATGGTGAGTTGATATTCAAAGACTTAGTATTCCACCATTTTGTTCGGGTTCTGTAAAAGAAATGTCTTGTGAAGTAAATTGAAATCTACATTACGGTGTTTTTCTTAATCACCTCGGAATAGAACAGCATGCCTTGGAAAATGAAACGTTATATAAGAAAGTGTAACAGAAGTATAGTGGAAAGCTGTTTGGGTGACAGATTTCTGACTTAATCTGATTATTTGACCCCAAGATGAAGTATCTTTGTGATATTATTAGTGTTTACGCTAACAACCAGTAGAATCTAAGATGAAGTATCTTTATGATATTATTAGTGTTTACGCTAACAACCAGTAGAATCTAAGATGAAGTATCTTTGTGATATTATTAGTGTTTACGCTAACAATCAGTAGAATCTAAGATGAAGTATCTTTGTGATATTATTGGTGTTTACGCTAACAACCAGTAGAATCTAAGATGAAGTATCTTTATGATATTATTAGTGTTTACGCTAACAACCAGTAGAATCTAAGATCAAGTATCTTTGTGATATTATTAGTGTTTACGCTAACAACCAGTAGAATCTAAGATGAAGTATCTTTGTGATATTATTAGTGTTTACGCTAACAATCAGTAGAATCTAAGATGAAGTATCTTTATGACATTATTGATGTTTACGCTAATAACAGTAGAATCTAAGATGAAGTATCTTTATGATATTATTGATGTTTACGCTAACAACCAGTAGAATCTGTAAAAATAGAAGAATTTCCAATATTAAAATGTTCAGATGTTCTTTTCAAAACATTTTTCCTGATGTAACTTAGTGATTAATGTCGGGCTGCGGTCGAAGGTCCAGGGCTCGAGAAATACGGCTGAATAGGCTTCACGTTATTCAAAGAGTCGGACAAAAGAAGTCCTTGTGGCAGTATGTGGTACTTCGCTTAGGCCAGTAGTTAGGTACAACTGTACTGGAATATTTAGCCCACGTGGGCATAAGTTGCCTTTGATGCTAAAAATTCCAACTACGCCGAATGATTTTAGTTACGATTTTAACATTACTGTTCAAAGTTACATGATCAACTATCTACCCTATGCTCATTGCAGGGTTCATTAGAATTAGAAGCGCTCAAAATCTATCACTATTTTAGGATTTTATCAGTTCAAAAACAACTGGCCTAGTGGTCAGGGCGCTCGACTTGAAACTGTGGGTCACCGGTTGTAATTCTTTTACCGAAAATGTTCGCCCTTTCAGTCATTAGGGCGTTATAATCTGACGGTCAATTCCGCCTTTTGTTGGTGAAGAGTAGCTCAAGAGTTGGTGGTGGGTGTGGTTAACTAGCTGCATTCCCTCTAGTTTATCGCTTCCAAAATAGGTACAGCTAACACAGATTGCCTTTGAGGAGCAAAATTCTAAAGAAACAAATATAACCAACAGTATTCATTCTTAACAATATTTGTTTCATTGTCTTTCGCAGTTTTTCATCATTACCCGGTGTTGCTCGAGTGCTTATATGCAAAAATTCGGGGTTGAATCCCTGCGGTGTGCACAACACTGTGTTTCACATGAAACACTCGCTCGGTGTTCAGTCGTTCTTGTTGGAAACAGGAAACTAAAATGAGACGTGGATATTTATAACAATAAATACTGTTCAAACATTTAAATAAATCAAATTAAAGATGGTTCTCTCTCACATTCATAATCGATAGAACGATTTCCGACCTGAAACAAAAACACCGAATCTTAGAGAAAGAAGGCTTATGGAATCACGAGCGGGTCAACTGTCTAACAAAGTTAATTGCCTGTATAGTTTAGATCAAACACTAGAAATTGAATCTGGTTTTAAAGAAACTTCCTGAAGTGTAGAATTTATGCACACACTGTATCCATCTTGTTATTTATCCACTTTAACTAATTAGTGATAAAAAGCTAAAAAGAATAAATACAAATGAAAAATAAAGTCCAGTGATACAGTACACGCACTGTTTAAGTTACCATTAATTCGAATAATTAGCTTGTATTATCGTATTTCATCTTCATTAGTTCTTGGTGAACAGAAAATGATGATTTTCGGTGTCAATATTTTTTTTTTTCATTTCATATATTTTTAGATTTGTTGTGACAGCAAAAAATACTTGTTATCAAATTTAAATACAATACTTTGATATAATTTTAGATATTGTTATCAGTTCTCGATATGACGTTGAAACAAAGACTGTTATCAGTTCTCGATACAATGTTGAAATAAAAATTATTGTTAGTCCTCGATACAATGTTGATATAAAAATTATCATTAGTTTCGATGTGATGTAGAAATAATTAAAATCTATTATCAGTTCTCGATATAATGCTGAAATAAAGACCATTATCAGTTCTCGACGCGATGTTGAAATAAATCCATGTGGACTTAACAACGTATATAGTGTTTGCTTTTATCGATTTCAGAAGTTCGTGTTCTTCAGACAGGAGAACTGCTTGTATATAATGTGGAAAGTGGTAACACACAACACACCTACATGTGTAAAGCCAAACACAGACTGACCGGATACACCGCTACTAGCGCCACCTATGGGAAACTCACAATACAAGGTACGTTATAGATCGAATTGTTAAAACCAGTGATGTCTATGCATTAAGATAATTTTCATTTGCATATAAATAGAGGATGTCACAACAGAAAGACCAGTGCACTGAGCTGTTAGAAGTAATACTCATATTGTTCATGAATATTTAAAAATCTAGAAGATTAACTTATGAACTACACCCGATTCAGCCAATCAAAAAGCACTCTTGTCAAAATACAGCAGAGCTACATCAAGTATCACTGACAGCAGTGAGTCACGCACTTTGATAATGAATTCAGAATCACATGACTGACACAGTTTTTTTATGTCGTATATTATTTAAAAATAGATTTGTTCTTCTTAACTACAAAGAGTATTAAAATGATAATTGTACCTTTATTTCTAAGCCTAAATTGTTAATCGTGCAGAATTTTTCTTACTTTACAGTAGTTCATATTTTATAGTTACCTTTCAAGTGTCATCTTGTTTTGCTATTTCTAAGCTTTCTAGCTTTGTTCATCTTCGATATTTTTTGCTTCGTCATAGAGTTCTTGTTTTAATTAGTTCCTCTGTCTGTCGCTTCAAGTTTTCGCCGACTGACTAAGAAATAGCAAGTGTAAAAAACACAAAAAGCGACGTTTTTCGGCACAATGAAACGTACAGTCTTAATTATTAATTTTCGCGTTTTTGACTCATAATGTAGTAACCTGAAATTAAATATTTACCTGTAATATACGCAATTAAAATCAGTATTTTAATGTATTGTCTGTAATAGAAAAAAGAAACAAACAATGTATTTTTTCAGGAGATTCACACGGTTTTTGCCCTATACAATTTTTTAGGTTGAGAAGCATTTTCTTAATATATAGGCCCCTCAGTGGCACAGCGATATGTCTGCGGAGTTGCATCGCTAGAAACCGGATTTCCATACCCGTGGTGAGCAGAGCACAGATAGCCCATTGTGTAGGTTTAAAAAAAAACTTAATATATAGATGTCACGACAACGCATAAACTGAATTATTTGTACAACTTATTTCTTTTTGGTTTTATTTATAGTGTAATATAGTTAAAATTGTGATAAACGTTTTATGTTTATCTTTTTTTATATTCAAGTGTTCGCCCAAAAATGGCAGTCAAAAACCGGAAGCAAAATGATATCATCTTGAAGACATCTGTATCATCATAGTTGTTTGTGATAAAACACAGCGCACGTAGAAACAAATATCTTGGAAGAATATCTCACAAAGTTACACACGACAGTCAGAGTATCTTACAGTATCTCACACGACAGTCAGAGTATCTTACAGTATCTCACACGACAGTCAGAGTATCTTACAGTATCTCACACAAGTCACAGTATCTCACACGAGTCACAGTATCTTACAGTATCTCACTCGAGTCACAGTATCTTACAGTATCTCACACGAGTCACAGTATCTTACAGTATCTCACACAAGTCACAGTATCTTACAGTATCTCACACAAGTCACAGTATCTTACAGTATCTCACACGACAGTCAGAGTATCTTACAGTATCTCACACAACAGTCACAGTATCTTACACGACAGTCACAGTATCTTACACTATCTCACACGACAGTCACAGTATCTTACAGTATCTCACACGAGTCACAGTATCTTACAGTATCTCACACCAGTCACAGTATTTTATAAAGCTGCAAGAGTCGCAGTATCTTAAAAAGTCACACAAGTGTTAGAGTAACTTAGAAATACAGTATCCTGAAAGTCGTGGAATACATTTCACGTCAGAGTGAGAGATTATCTGACAAACTTATACTTGCAACACTTTTATGTACAGTTTTTTATTATCATAGATTAATGTATTATATTCTTTGGTCAACTAAATTAAAATAAACGCGATAAAACGATTAAAATCTACAATATAATATTTGAATTAATTTTGATTAAAGAAGAAACAAATTAAAAACTTTTATGAAACATTTCAATTGATTTGCTTGTAGTTAAGCGCAAAGCCACACAATGAGCTATCTGTGCTCTGCCCACCACGTGTATCGAAGCCCGGTCTTCTAGCGTTGTAAGTCCGTAAACATACCGCTGTGCCACTGGGAGCCTGAGATTAAGATTCGTTTTGTGACAATGAGCTTGCACATACGTTTATGACGTTAACGTTCAGGTTAAAATATAACTTGTAAGGCGGGGAAGTACGAC